AATGTGAAACATCAATTGAGCCAAAGGAAGACAGTGATTCTTCAACTAAAGAGAAGAATGCCCCTGCACACATACTAAGACGGCATCCTCCATCACAGATCATTGGAAATCTGGACGATGGGTTACACATACGAGGTAAGTACCAACCAAGTCAGTATGCTTTTATCCCATTACTATAACCCAAGAACTATAAAGAGGTCGTGACTGATGATGAATGGGTATGCGCTATGCAAGAAGAACTAGTACAATTTGCTCGATTACATGTCTGGGAACTTATACCTAGACCATTCAATAGATTAATTATAGGAACCAAATGGGTATTCAGAAACAAAACAAATGAAAATGGACTTGTGACTAAGAATAAAGCACGACTTGTTGCTCAAGGATACTCACAAGAAGAAGGGATAGATTTGATGAAACTTTTGCTCCTGTTGCTAGACTAGAATCTATCAGACTTTTTCTGTTCATATGCATGTTATATGAAGATACCTTTGTTTCAAATGGATGTGAAAAGTGCATTCTTAAATGGAGAAATTAAAGAGGAAGTGTATGTTAGTCAGCCACCAGGTTTTATTGATAATGAATTTCCTGATCATGTCTATAAACTGTCAAAAGCTTTATACGGTTTAAAACAAGCTCCTAGGGCTTGGTTTGAAAAATTGTCTGCATTCTTGATAAATGAAGGTTTCTCACAAGGAAACGTAGATAAAACTTTATTCATTAAGAAAGAAAAATCAGACACATTGGTAGTACAAGTATATGTTAACGACATTGTATTTGGATCTACTAATCCTTTCATGTGCTCTGAGTTTTGTGAGTCCATGAAGTCAAAATTTGAAATGAGTATGATGGGTGAGCTCTCAAATTTTCTTGGTCTACAAATCAGGCAAACCAAATCAGGTATGTTTATTAGTCAAACAAACTACATCCATGCTTAAAAAGTTTGATATGTGTTATGTGAATGCATGTTCAACTCCTATGGCTACTAATCTTAAGTTAGACAAGGATGTAACATTATTCCTTTTTGTGAAAAGAAATACAGAGGGATGATTGGATCTCTTCTTTATCTAACTGCTAGTCGTCCTGACATGTCGGATTACGTGCAAGATTTCAAGCAGGACTTTGGTATAAAAAGAATATTTACGTCCTGACAAAGTCATTTTGAAGCTATAAAAAGAATATTTAGATACCTTTAAGGAGCTACTCAAGTAGGACTTTGGTATCCAATTACAGACTCATTAGACTTAGTCGGATATAGTGATTCAGACTTTGGAGGAAATCTCATAGATAGAAAAAGCACATCAGGAGGTATCTAGTTTTTAGGACCAGCTCTTGTATCTTGGTTTAGCAAAAAACAAGGTGTTGTTGCATTATCCACTGCTGAAGCAGAGTACATGGCAGCTGGTAGCTGTTGCACCCAGTTAATGTGGATGAAGGCACAATTATCTGATTATGGCTTTGAGATGAGTAATATTCCAGTCTGTTGTGACAATACTAGTACGATTTGCATGACAAAAAACCCAGTACAACATTCTAGGACTAAACAAATAGAAATAAAGTATCATTTCATAAGAGATTTAGTTCAAGCTGGGCACATAAGCCTTCACTTTGTATCGACTGAACTCCAATTGGCGGACCTGTTTACAAAATCCTTGCCCAGTGAACGTTTTCGGCAACTTTGTACAGAAATAGGGCTAAAATATTTTGAGCAAATTAAAAATCTAAAAGCTAAGACAACTATTGGGGGATTGTTACTCTAGGCATCTTACTTGTCTTGGTTTACACAAACATTTACTTTTACGGCTCATGCTTACTACTTTTTAAGCAATTTTGCATGCTTTGGATAATTATTACACTCAATGTTTACGTAGAAATCTCTTTGCATTCCCTCGTCCTTCTCTAGCTATCCTCTATTTAAACCTTCATCTACCTCCTTTCTTCTTCACTTGCAGCAAGCAAACCAAACCATCATAGCAGTTTCCCTCTGTTTCTTGAAAAGAAAATGAGTGATTACCTCCCTCGTCCCTTTCGCTTTGATGGCCTTGTCCATACCTACCCTGGCTACATGTTTCATGAGCCTGTGGTAATCAATCACCATCGCCATCTCCAGCAATTTTGAGAATAAGAGACTTCATCATATCACTCAACATGATCCCTATGAGTTCAACCTTTACAAATATGACATTGTGTCACTCATTGAGGGGTTGGGATGGGAGTTTTTGCTACGACAGCCACTTCATCCTGCGTGCCCTGGTGCTGTCAAATATTTCTATTCAAATCTAAGATGTCAAGGTGTCAGCACAAGGGTCTTCACTACTGTGGTCTATGGTTATCTTCTGACCATTCTAGTTGAAGCTCTTAATGGAATACTTGGCTTTCCTTCTCAAGGGCTTAACATTGCTCACCCTTCTGAATTCTGGAAGCAAGAATTCAAGCTTGCCACTGAATATGGGAACTTCTCAACCGAATCAACTGGTGGTTCAGATGTTCCAATCCATGTTAGCTGGCTGCCTCCTAGACTAAGGGTGTTCCACCACTTCCTCACTCATGTATTTTTTCCTCGTTCATTCAATCTTGATCGAGTTCTACCAATGGATCTCTGGATAATTTCCAGTGCTACTGCTGGAAGGAAACTGAACTTCTCCTTCCTCCTGTTTTCTCACCTACTTCTAGTAGGAGATGAGCATTATCAGGGACTGCTACCCTTTGGTTCCATCATTACTAGAATGCTCATCAATCTCGGAGTCGACTTATCTGATTTTCGCAGTGTGTCCTCCACAATGTACATGAGTGCATTAAACGTGCTCATGGTCCTTGATCTACCTACAGATCTTCCTCAACCACCTCCTCTCCCTTCTGCTTCTATCCTTGGACCTCGTCCAAAATTGACCTTGGCCAAGAAGGCCAAATCTGCTGGAGAACCAAGCAAAGTTGGAGATCTTGTCTTTACTGTCTCTGAGGGAAATTCCTCCTCAGATGAATCTGCTACCTCCGCTCCTGCATCCTAAAGTACTCTAGTAGTCAGGGGGAATGTTTTTTTTAGTCAAGTATTAGTTTTTGTGATGTTGTCTGGTTGGTCAGACTAAGCATAAGTTGAGGGGGAACTTGTTTATGTTGTACTATCTGGTTGGTCAAACTCAGCTGTCCCTTTCTTGTTTTGGACAAGCTTCTTTTGTTGTACCCCTCTTTATTATGGTAATGAATGTTGTTATTTTTCGAGGATCGTTCTGTTGTGTGCTTGTTTCTGTTTTAGGTGTACTCCAGACTTCTCGGACGAAGGGGGAAATTGTTGGATGATGCTATTTAAACTGCCAGATTAGCAACGATGTCGTTTCAACTCCGCCCACATCACAAGCCCAACGACTCCGTTCAAGAATCATATCCTAACGACGTCGTTGCAAGAAATCGTCCTTCAAAGTCTAGATGCAGCCTTCTCGTGTAGAGTTCTCCAGTTCTCCATCTTCGATTCACTCTCAAACCATGGAGACAACTCCATCGAAGCCTGCTCCTCTCGATCTGCCTCAAGATGGTCACCACCTCTATAAAAAAACTAATGATGATTACTACCATACTTAGCAAACGATCACCTTCCGGGAACGGTTATCTTCTTCTGCCTTCTATAAATTATGTAATCTGACCTAGCTTTAGAACTTGGCAGTCGACAGAAAGAGTGTTGTGTGAAATATCTTTCTATCGTAGGTCCATGTTTGGGTTTCTACTTCATTTCCTTAATTCACAGTGTGTGTGAGCTGGGTGAATTAGGGATTGGGAGAGCTTGTTGAGTGTTTTAGATTAGTTCAAAGAGCCAATTCGATTGGCTTGGCTAGGATTCTCTGTTTGTAGTTTGCAATTCGATTGGCTTGGCTTGGCTTGGCTAGGATCCAAACCCATTCAAAATTTACAAAAACAAAACTGAAATTTTTAAGCCCTCGCCACCGTTGCAACTGAATCACCGTCCAGACGCTACCACCATGGACATCTCCCCATCGATGGGGTTTTTCATCAGCCTTCGTTCTCTTGTCCTAAGGCTCAAGGAGATGGTGGCGGCTCTCAAAATAACTCACGTTTGTGCCATCTAGATAAAGGTAGAGGGAAAGACCAGAGATTGAAGAATGGTCCTGCGATTTGCATAGATTTGCCGTTCTTGAATGACCAATTAACGTCGGGGTGATTTTCTTTATCGTTCCAACCGTTTCCATCGCCGACGAGAATGAAGGCCGATGACTGCTTCCCTTCTAGTCGAGGACAGAAGGGGTTGAATCTGATCATATTTCCCACATGCAACGAGAAGAAAGCTGAGATTTAGCTTCAGTAGTCGTCTCTCTTTGTTGTGTTTTTCCAGAGCAAATCGAGAACCTCAAAACAGAGGGCGGGCAGCGAGTTGTCTCCCAACGACGGAAGCAGGGATAGAAGGAGATCTTCCCCGCCAACGAATTCAGCGACACACAAAGAGAAGGAAGCGTCCAAAGGATGGAGAGGACTGTGTCGGTGGCGTGACCGGCGGCGGTAGGAACTTGAAGGGGAGGTTTGGGGATTTCATCTTGCTTGCGCATCTAGTTTTTTTTTTTTTTGGGTTTAAAAATGTTAAGTCTTACAATTATTTTTTAATGAATTGTAAAAGTGTGATGGAATATTTAAATGATTAAGATTATTATTTTATTATTTTTAAATGACCTCGTCATACATTTAACGGTTAGAGTTGACTGTCACATTAGAAAAAGTTAACGAAGAGTGACCAAACTTGAACTGATAAACTAATTTGAGTAATTTTAAATGAAATAAATTAATTTTAATGACAAACGTGAACTTTTTAAAACATTCAAGTGATAAACTTGCAATTTAGCCGTGATGCATCTGAACCGTAAATTCAGACATGAGGGCAAGCCATTTACATTCACTGCACCTTGAGATTAGCGCGGGCTTACTACGTGGCAGGTGGCAACGTCTTATTGGTAACCTAATCGCCAACAGTGACGTATTCAATATTTTATTATCGCAAAGCGGGCCAATCAGTTCCTACCATTTCCCAATTCCACCTTGTCAAGTTGAAGTCTCTTTCTCGGCATTTCTCTCTGCCGTCCCCAGCCACAGCCAGCTTTTCAAGTCTTCAACCTCCATTTCTTCCGACGATCTGCGGGATGGGCGGCGGCAATCGGTGGTTGAGGCCTGAGGTAATTATCTTTCAGATCCTGGAGCTTTTTCTATCGCGCGCTCTCTCTCTTTCTCAGCTAGCAAAGGAAAACAGAACAAGAGTAGTAGTAGTAGGTAGAAAGAATGTTAGATCTGGACTAGTACTCATGGCGTTAGTAATGTTGTTGTGGTGATTGGGTTTTGGGGCAGGTTTATCCTCTGTTCGCCGCGACGGGAGTTGCTGTAGGGATCTGCGCCTTTCAGCTGATTCGCAACATCTCCGGCAATCCTGAAGTCAGGTGAGGTCAACCTCTTTTCCGCACTAGTAACGCTGCTAGGCTATAGCTGTAGACATATTGTTGACATAGCCTCACTCTTCTTAGTCGACGTCTATTTTTCCTAACGTGATGGAAAATCCATTCTCAGAGTCCTGCTGTTTCCACTGTTTCTTGGCTTGTTTTGATTTGGGGTCTCTTCTTCTTCTTCTTCTTCTTCTTGTTTGTGTTGGCAGGGTGAAGAAGGATAACAGGGCAGCGGGAGTACTGGAGAACTTTGCGGAGGGAGAGAGGTACTCGCAGCATGCCCTTAGGAGGTTCGTGCGGGACAGGGCGCCTGAGATCATGCCCAAACTCAACAGCTTCTTCTCCGACCCCAAATGAAATGGGAAAAACTACATTGTTTTGTCCCCAAGCTGTTCTAATACAAAAGAAATGGAATGCGGTGGAGGACTCTATTCTTGTGATGGAAACATTGGTGTTGCAGTTTACTGGACGCACATATTCAAACTCAGAAAATAACAACTGGTTCTGGATTCACTGCATGGATGCAACTTTGACCTATCTCTTTGTGCTGTGATTATGTGATGCTCGTTCCATGGGGTCTATTCCAGCGCTTTTTTTTTTTTTTTGAGTTTTGACAATGGCTATGCTCGTGCGTGTTCTCGATGTTATGCTTGTGAATGCAAATATTAGTTTAGATCCCTTGGGAAATGCAGACTGGTGAGCAATGTTGTCAAAATCACATTTTAAGATTTTGATGACGTTGCCTATGAGAGACGAAACTTGCGCCTGTAAGTTGTCCTTGCTCGTCTGAAGGCCGCTCGAAATCTGGAGAACCGAAACCTACTTTGTGGGATGTGGTATCTGTGGATTTGAGAATGGCGTTTGCAGAAGTACAGGATTGATGGGTTTAGATGTATTGAACTATTGTGAAATGCGCCAAGATGATCAATGTTAGATACACAGGAAATGATGAAATCAAATACCCTTCTTTCGTTTTGAAGATGTGATAAATCAGAAGCATAACATGAAGTTGAGATAAACAGTAACTATTTACAAATACATTGAACCAAACCTTAGCTATTTGTCATAAAAATTATGAGTTTGACCAATTAATGTGTAAATGCAGGAAGGATATAGCAAAACTAGGACCAACGGTGTGTGACTATGTTTCAAGGAAATATGATGCTTCTATACCAATCTATCATGAATGGACATGATAGTGATACATCAAACAGGCCAGCATCAGACATTGACATTGAAATTTTTGAATGGTAGATACAAATGGCAAAAGTACTGGATTCCAGAAGAGCAAAACATTTCGATTCGGCTTGTCAATCCAAGAGAGACAAAGATCAAGGACGGAAATGGTCAACATCCATTGATGGCAAACTGGTGTCACCCCTTATTCCTCTCAGTATGTTCTTCGCTGTTTCTTTCTCCTGCAATGGTGCAAAGAAGACAAGCACTCACATCCATCATCTTCATGATCTTTGTAAAACAGAGTTGGCTTCTTTGGCCAATCCACTGTAAGATCTATAGAATAAATGAGTAAAAACTTACCGGGCCACCATAATCCATAAGACGAGCACAGTACACCTCTGCTTCTTCATATCTCTTCATTTCTCTACAATGCTCAGCAAGAAACGACAGTGCTTCGACCATATTCTGAGCTTCCCTCTCCTCAGCTTCCATCCTCTCCAAATCCTTCTTGTAGTAAAAGGCCGCTTCTTCAAACCGGCCAAGTTCACGGTGCAGCTTGGCCAACTGCTGCAAGGCAATGGCTTCCTTGTCACCACAGCTTGCAGCTCTCTTATAACACTTGATTGCTTCCTCCAGCATCTGGAGCTGCTCTGTTTCATAGCACTGGGCCATGGCTATCCACAGCCGGGCATCATTCGCCTGCAAGAAGACCGACTTCTTGAAATAGTGAAGGGCATAGAAAGGCATTCCCATCACCTCGTATGCTTGCCCTAGACCATACCAAGCTCGATAATCACGGGGGTTGATGTCCACTGCCCTTCTGTAGGCATCAACAGCAGCTGGGGTGTTTTTCATTTCGACATACTCATGCCCCATAAGCGTCCAAGCAGTAAGATAGTTTTTGTTCAACTTCAGTGCCCTTCTAAAGTAGGTGACTGCTTTCTCATGCTGCCCCTTTAAGCTGTAGTAATTGGCAATAATGCAACAAGATTCAGGGCGATACTTATCCGTCATGAATACCCTATGAGCAAGATAACTTAGGGCTGAGAAACACTCTTTTGCATACAGCACATTGGAGTACATATCCATATCTTCCACTCTATAGGGATCGTTTCGCAATAATTCTTCAAATATCACCTCGACTTGTTCAAATTCCCTTAAACTATACTGCACTTGAGCAATTTGAGCTTGAACATAGTTACTGAAACTGAAAGTTCCTTGTAGATATTCATATTTGACCAGGGATTCATTGTGCATTTTGAGCTCTTGGTAAGCACTGGCAAGGAAGAAGTCCTTCATCCAGTGATTACTGAGGTTGAGACCATTCAAGATCTCAGGAGTTGAACATAGTGCTTGTAGCTCTGACCAGGCACTCCAGTTCCAAGGGTAACAGTTCACAGATTCCACAAGCACCATTCGAGCAAGATTCTGGTTACCTTTCTCTTTGAGCACAAGACCATACAAGTACAACCCAAATGGATCGATCGTGCCATTCTTCCGAAGGGTTGATAATTCCCTTTCAATGGTGATCAGCTCACAGTTCGTGGGTTCACTGTTTCCCAGCCCTGTTAGTTCAATTGATTCTTCTTCTTTGCGCTTTTCTCCGGCCTTCAAGTCCAGAATTTTTTTTGTAAAAGGGGAACAATACAAGATATTAGTTGAAGGAAAACATTGTGAAGCAAGTAAAATGCAAACGTTGAAAAATAGCATTCACATGAAATGAAGACCACTAAACCAAGTAGTAGAACCCAAGAAACTACCAAACCAGACAACTGAAAGGAAAGTAAATTCTTAGAAGAGTATCTATAGATCATGACCAATCGAAACTGTTGCAACAGATTCCAGGAAGCCACAAAGTGAGCGCACAAAGCCAATCGACAAGACAAAGAACAGCATCTTACGAGGAAAAGAGCATAATTACGCAAGAAAACTGATTTCTTCGCAGTTTGGTCTCGGAGAGCATGGGCAGCCCGTCTATACTCCCGGCAGTCGAAGTAGGTTTTTCCCAGAAGGTAGAAATCGTTATCCACTGCCTCGTCTTCTTCCATTACTGGAGTGGAAACATATGAAACACCGGCAAGCGGCGTGAGAGGCGTGGCGGAAGCTATCTCATTAGTTCGAAATCTCCGTCTGATGCTCGAGCTTCCTCGCTGGAATCTGGTGTTTGCAGGCGTGAACTTAGCCGGGTCTTGCTCAATTCCTACAAGCTGCTCAGCTGCCCTGTCCACCAACCAAGCAATTCAATGCCCAGGAAACCAAAAGGCTTAGCTAGACATTAGAAGGAAGGAAAACAAGAAGAAAAGGGGAAGTTCCAAGCTTTTTAGGGTTTTAGACTGAGAATGAAGAGGAGGACTACCATTTCGCCGCAGGGTGAAGACAACGATCGCTGAGTTGGCGAATCGCAGTTCGAAGTTCATTCCTACAGTTCTCTTTAGAGCTCATCTCCGAATTTGCATTGCCAATTCGCCCTTTCTTCTCTTCACTTCTTCCTGCAGCTTTAGTCTGAACTGTCCAGAGTTTTGCTGGGGAAAAAATCGAAATTTCGCTTCTCGGCGCCCTTTCGTGAAAACGACGGAGATTGAAGCAGGCTTCATTGGTTTGGCTTCGGCCCAGATTTTACAGAGCCCAAACAGTCCACTCTAAATAATTGCTTAGTTTGACCCGCCACAGAATCAACTTATGACGGGTGCTTTTAAAGAAGTACTTTTTCAAAAAAAAAAAAGAAAAAAAAGTTGAGTATTTAAGTGAAAAACTATTATTAGTGATTTTTAATATGAGAGGTTATGTAAAATGATTGAGAGATTTTAATGCTGTTTTATCTCCAAGGGAGACCTCAAATCTAGATGTATGAGTTCCAGTATGGTAGAGTTTCAGGCCTGGGTTAATGAGATGAAATTGGAGGATCATAAGGTCATGGGAGCTTGGTTTACATGGTGGAATAAGCAAAAAGAAAATCCAATAGCTAAGAGGTTGGATCGGATCTTCATTAATGAGGCTTGGCTTTCAGTATTTGCAGCTAGTACTGCTATTACTATGACCCCTGGGGTATCTGATCACTGTGGTTTGCTGTTGCAAGTTATGCCTCAAATAGACAGTATGCCAAAACCGTTCAAGTATTTTAAGTTCTAGTCTAGTCACCCTTCTTACTTTGATTTGGTATCAGAAGCTTGGAATACTATTGTCAAGGGTCGTCCATACTAAATTTTCTATGGGAAGTTGAGGCAGGTGAAGTTGAAGCTTAAGAAGCTAAATAGAGAGGTCTATTCTGACATCTCCTCTAAGGTTCGTGTCATTGAGCAGGAATTGGAGCAGTTGCAAATGTTACTTCTATGCAACCCAACTTAGGGATTGGTGGAGGAGGAAAAGGGGCTTGCTATGAAATGCCATGAGCTGCAAAGGGTCGAGGAAAGTTTTTATAAGCAAAAAGCCAGAATGAGAGGGGTTCAAGAGGGTGATATGAACACTTCGTTCTTTCATCGTTCTGTAAAGGTTCACACTCACAGGCAGCAAATAACTCGTCTTATAAACTCACAAGGCAGGAAGTATCAGATATAAAGGAAATGGGGAAAGTAGCTGTTGAGTTCTATAGGCAGTTAATAGGGGAGGCCAATTCTGATGTGATGATGCAGCCTTCTAGTTTTTATGAGCAGTTGTCTCTCAAGAAGATTTCAGCTGAGGAGTCTTTATCTCTGGTTGCTCCAGTTACTAGGGAGGAGATCTGGCAAGTGTTTAAAAGGCTTGGTAAGGACAAAGCCCTTGGGCCAGATGGATTTCCATCTGAATTCTATCGTCTCCATTGGGGGCTAATTGGTGATTTGGTGGTGGAAGTTTCTAAGGAGTTTTTCCAGTCAGGCATAATGCCTCCTATTCTGTACTCTACTCTTTTCACTCTGGTTGCCAAGGTCCCTAGTGCAGAGTGTATGAAGGATTTCAGGCCAATCTCATGCTGTAATACAATCTATAAAGGGATCTCTAAGATTTTGGCCAACAGGTTAGCAACAGCCTTACCTTATGTTATATCTACTTCTCAATCTGCTTTTATCAAAGGTCGTTCAATCTGTGATAATGTTCTATTAGCTTCTGAATTGGTTAAGGATTATCACCGAAAGAATGTTACTCCTCGTTGTGCTATAAAAATCAACATTATGAAGGCGTTTGATTCGGCCGATTGGTCATTTTTATTTACTGTTCTTGAAGTAATGGGGTTTCCTGCTTAATTCATAAGTTGGTTAAAAGCATGTGTCTGTTGCTCAAAGATCAGTGTAGGCTTGAATGGTGGTTCTGTGGTGTGTTTGTAATGAAGCGTGGGCTTCGTCAAGGGGATCCATTATCCCCTTACTTGTTTACAGTGGCCATGGAAGTCTTAGATGCTATGCTGAAGTTAGCAGTGAAACAGAACCAAGTCCCTTACCATCCTCGTTGTAAACCATTAGCTATAACACACTTATGTTTTGCCGATGATTTGCTGGTTTTTACTAATGGATCTGTGCATGGTGTGGCTGGTATATGTCGCGTTCTGGATGCATTCTATGTTGTTTCGGGTTTAAAGTGAAACCTAGAGAAATGTCAATTATTCTGTGGGGGGATTTCTGGGGAGGAGCAGCTATTGATATCTTCTATCTCTAAGTTTCCATTGGGGCAGCTCCCTGTTCGTTATCTTGGAGTTCCCTTAATCACGAGGAAGCTCACTCGAGCTGACTGTAGAGTGTTAGTGGAAAAGATCACTACCAGAGTTCGGAGTTGGAGAGCAAAAACACTGAGTTTTGCTGGTAGGCTTCAATTAATTTCTTCGGTTTTGACTAGTACATTACAGTTCTGGATGAGTGTTTTTCTGTTGCCTCAATATGCTATTAAGGAAGTTGAATCTGTGTGCAACAAGTTCTTGTGGGACGTTGATGACTCCTCTGTTCGGAAGGAAGCAGTCACGTCCTGGAAATTCCTTGCTCGTCCAAAAACGGAAGGAGGTCTAGGCATTCGTGATTTTACGCTCTGGAACAAAGTGTGTACTTCGACATTTTTGGGCCATTCTTGCTGAGGAGGGCTCAATCTGGGTTGCCTGGATTCTGCGTTACAGAGTGAAACAGTCCTCTATTTGGGACATTAAAGATTCAGCTGCTGCTTCTTGGATTTGGAGGCGAATTTTGAAGTGTCGTGAACTGGCTAGACCATTCATTTTGCAGACTGGGGATACTCTGACATGGGATGGTGATGTAATGAAGGTCTACTCGGTTAGTAAAGTCTGGAACTCGGTAAGACAACATGGAAGCATTGTCCCATGGGTTGAATTTGTCTGGGGGAAGCACATTGTGCCTCGACATGGGTTTATACTACGGCTTATTATACATGACAGATTGAAATTGCAGGATAAGTTGATTGAGTGGGGGAAACAACTTTCGGGTCTCTGTTTCCTTTGTCCAGGGGGCTATGAAACAAGATCCCACTTGTTTGTGAGTTGTTCATATGTTAGATATATGCTGTCCTCTCTTTTGAAGTATGCAGGCCCTCCTGAGTTAGGTGATTGGCAGTCAGTGTTACATTGGTGTGTGGCTAAATGGCAGGGTAAAGGAGCTGAAGCTAGTTTGAATAGAATGATATGGTGCGTTGTGTTAAGCCTTGTGTGGCAGGAACGTTGTTCCAGAATGTATGAAGAAAGAAGTGCCAGGGATCCGGTTCAGCTTTGTCTTAAGGCGAAAAGGATTCTTAGTTTTCGGTGCCAGTTAGATCCGGCTCTATTATGCTGTTTAGAGTCGAGGGGGCTGGGGTAGTTGTTTTTGTTAGTTTCTTCTTTGTGCTGGAAGCTTTTTTGTACAAACAATTTGTGCTGAGAGGAGCCTTAGCGGTTTGCTAAAGGTTTTCCCGTTCTTAATGCCATTTTGATTTAATTATAAAAAAGTTCAAGAATACACTAGGCGCTATCTAGACGAGGAGGCACTGCACAGCACCCAGGCCGATTAGTCGTTGCCTAGGAGAGATTAAACGTAGATATATATATATATATATACTTATGTATAGTATACAGCAGGTAATCTAGCCGTTAGATGTACTTAGATGAGCTCCGGCCAATCTCAACGACCAGTTTTTGTTTTTCATTAAATCAAACATCGGGTTGGGGTTTAGAAAATCGGTGCCTGGAGTTTATCCATTAGAGGTTAGGGTATATTATCATAACCCATTCTCGATTTAATTCATGGTCTAGATAGAGATATCTCACTAGTAGTACCTGACGTATAGTATACGTCTCACGTACGCCAGTCTGACCCAACACCTAACAATGGCCAAGTGTAACCAATGAAAGGGACTGCAGTATAGGCAAGTTTAATTATCAACCCGGGGTCTAGATCTACTGCTTACTCCGTGATTCTCTATTATCTAGCAAACTAAGTCGAGTGATTGTTGTAAAAAGTAAAAGCAACAAGAAAGCAGTAAATTGTTCGGGTTTCTAAAGCAGGCAAGAGTCACTCGGGATTGAGTCCCCCTAGCCCCTTAGTTAGGTTCAATTGCAATTCCCTGGGTTGATTTACTGTTGATTAGACTGCGGAAGATCCGACAGTAGCTTGGAATCTCTTAAGCTGACCAAGCCCTCTCAGTCTAACTACCCGGCAGACGACTAGTCTTCACCGGGATAGAAAGCTGAGGCTATGAACACAGAACTCCACTATTGGCGCCAAGAACACCAGTACAAAGCAGTCAACTGGCTAACTCTCGTATAGCCAATCTCCTACTATCGAATGAAGAGGCTCTAACAACCTAATCAGATTCTATCTATCTCAGGTTGAAGCAGAAATTGAGACAAGCTGATCAGACTCAAATCAATTCATGAAACATGCGTCATTCGATTAAAATCAAGCAGTAATATCATCCCAAGTCATTACAATCAAATCCCTAACACAAGGAACTAGGGTTCTTCATACCCAAGTGAGAGAAGGGTTCTACTCCATAGAGAGAGAAGAGAAAACAAGAATCGGATTAGTCATACTCATAACGATGAGGATAATCTGCTCCGGGACGATGATTTCCACTCCTATGACGATCTCCAAGCTCGATTCGATGAAATCCAGCTCTTAGACGGCTTCTAGGATGAGTTCTTCGCACTTTCTCTCTCTAGGGCTCTGTTTTTTGCTCTGAAAACACGATTCTCTCACTTTTGGCTCGAATTAGGCTTTAAAACCGACTTTCCCGAGTTGCACGGCCAGGTGCACGGCCGTGCACATCACCATTCTGGCCGTGCACCCTCAAAACGCACCGTATCAATTATTCGGCCTTCATCCACCTTGCACGGCCAGGCGCACGACCATGCAAGCTTCAAGCCTGCCCGTGCATGGCCTCGACATGAGGTGCACGGCCAAATGGCTCAAGTGCACGGCCGTGCAGCCTCCTGGTCTGCCCGTGCACTCCCCAAACAGCTCGCCCTTCGTCCGTTCTGCGTCCAATCGACCCCAGACTCGCTCCCAAGCCTTCATTCACGTACTAGGACCTGAAATAACACAAACAAGCACAACCTAGCGTGAAATCGGCCTAAAACACGAGAATCAACACCTCAAACGGTGTAAGTATGAGGGTAAAAACATGTGTAAATGACGGTCTATCAAACTCCCCCACACTTAAACCGTTTGCTTGTCCCCAAGGCAACCAAGTCAGACACTAGGTAATAGCTTACATATTTCAATTCAACCAACATTGGGGACAAGTCATAAAGGCACCAAAACACGTGAATCGCACTGGTTCTCAAACATCAATACATGCACAACCTCACTAACAACCTGGACAACCACCACAAAGGACATTCAGAGTGCAGCAAATGCGAGTAAAGGAAGTGTCTCCCGTCTGTTCACTGGCCAACCTAGACTTAATTCAACCACTTACTCAAAACAGTCAACTCATGCATCCAACTCAAGACATCAGAATAGAGACCGAGCAATCTAGGTCCTCACCGGGGTACAAGAGCATATAGAAAATGAAAATGAATCACTCACTCTCGACCAAGTTGGGGTCAGGACAATTTGATGCGAAAGATGCGCATGCTATTTCTCTCAATACCTATCATCTCTTCACTATGATGGCAGCCTCTAAATGCTAGAGTTCACATATGGGGTGTCACCACTAACTAATCAGGAGGTCTTAGACACAGGTTCAAATGACTGGCTAGGGTCTTGGACATGGGGAAAAGGCCTTTTAGGTGGTGGAAGAATTCATAGCAAAAGGTTCCACATTTCCCAAACACACAAACACAGTCAACAACCCGATATTTTCTTTCTGCTATCCTGCATTACTCAATATCTTAAGAGCCCAAGAGCGAAGGAGGCATAAACATCAGCATTTCCAAGCCAGACTGCTAAGAAACACTACTTACTGGGCATTATTCAGATTTTTGGTAGTGGCTCTCTTTTGCTTTCAATTTTTTTCTTTGTTTTTCTTTTATTTTTCTTTTCATTTCTTAAGAGAGCCACCACTTCTGCATAAATTTCAAACACCTGCCCAACTTTTAAGCACTACCTCCAACACTCACATAGACTTTAGCAGAAACAGCAGAGAATATGTAAAAACCACTCTGTGGAACCTTCTAAAAGATGCAACAAGGGTGATTTTTTCATTATAGACCAAAAGAAAGGATAACACACGGCTCAAAGGGGCTGACTAGGGGGTATGACACATCAGGACAGTCAGTTTTGGGCGTGGGCTAATCCTATACCCCCATCATCTTAGCTAGTGACAACGTGAATGCTACACATCATGGAAGAGGGATCTATCGCACAAGAAAGAAACGAGCAGGCTCAAATCTCACATGGCTACCTATATGCTCTATCTCACATTCTGATACCCTGAACTAGATGCATAAACGATTGTCAAGAACAAGTAATCAGATCAAGTCAGATCAAGTCACAGTTGGCAAGCAAACAGTTGAAAAACTGAACCCCTACATCGTTCTACTGCACATCTCAGTCCTCATCATAGGTTGTCCTAGTCGCAAACAGGTTGTCATGCATTAATCCGAAAACCAATCAATTCATCCATCAAAACACAGTGCCAATATGATCAAACAGCAGTACTTGGAGCCCTCAAATCGTAAGATTCGGACAGTGGACTAGGCTCCAAGCACCATCAAAAATACTCCAACCGATACAAAACATCCCCCCACACTTAAGCACGACATTGCCCTCAATGGAGTAGAGGGAAAGATAAGGGGAACGATGTTACCGGGTAAGAACACCTAACAATGGTTTCCGGCGAAGAAATTTGGTTTTCTGACCACAATGGCCGTGCACGGCCATTTATATAGCCCGTGCCTCGGCTGCACGGGCAGAGGCGCACGACCGTGCACCTTGGCTTTTTGCCCGTGCAGGCCGACACGGCCTGGCCGAGGGTTTTGCACGGCCGTGCACAAGGCACATTTGGCCGTGCAACTAACGCCGAGAGCTCGCACGGCCAAGGGGTGGTATCCGCACGGCCGTGCGAGGCTTCAAGTTGCCCGTGCAAGGCTGCACGGCCTGACCGAGGGTGCTGCACGGCCGTGCACAACGCGCTTTTGGCCGTGCACTCCTGGCCGAGAGCTCGCACGGCCAGGCCAGGCTAGGCGCACGGCCGTGCAAGTTGATTTTCTGGCCGTGCACCTTGCCGGGGTCCCGAAATCAACCTGTTTTCACTCAAAAACGACACGTAACTCCGGATCAACGTCTCAAGACTCAAAAACACACAAAATCAAAGGAAAAAGAGTAAGAAAATGCAAACCTCGGTGGGGTTGCCTCCCCACAAGCGCTTCTTTACCGTCTTTTAGCTGGACGCCAGTATGGATGCTCAGGGAAGTGTAGGATCAGGTGCCTTCAAGAGCGGATCCACATCGCTCTTGAGGTACAGCTTCAACTGGTGGCCATGGACGCGGCGAATGTGGCCACCTGCATTTGCCAGCTCGACTTGGCCATCCGGCAGGATGCAAGCGAGTGAATACTCGGATGGCCAAAGTGGGGGCGGGACCAGCTCATAGTGGTCTCCGGCTTTCTTGCGAGCAGGCTTAGCTGCCTGCAGTTTCGGCCGCCACTCCTCCTTGATCTGTTCTTTGGATGACGGGGTGGTCCGGAGTGGCGGCGAAGGTGTGGGAGGCGGTTCCTGCAAAATAGGCAGCACAGAAGGATACACGACAGACTCGTGCTCCTGGTGAGATACAGCATGCAGAGGTAGCGAAGCAGGTATAGTATCAGCAACAGAAAACGTTATTCGCTCCTCGCCATCTCTCAAAACTAAGGTCCCATCATGCACATCTATGAGAGCCTTGGCGGTGGCCAGGAAAGGCCTTCCCAGTATAAGAGGCACTTCTGTGTCCTCACTGATGTCCAGGATAACAAAATCCACAGGATATGTGAATTTGCCAACCTTGACCAGAAGGTCTTCCACTATACCCCTAGGATGCACTACCGATCTGTCAGCTAATTGAAGGGTCATCCTAGTAGCACGGGGTTCACCTAGGCCTAGTTTCATGAACAATTTGTATGGAATAACATTGATACTAGCACCTAAATCCGCCAAGGACTTCTCTACATGCAATTTACCAATAGAGCACGGGATAGTGAAACTACCTGGGTCCTTTTTCTTCTGCGGAAGCTTGTTCTGCAGAATAGCCGAGCACTCCTCGCTGAGCTCCACAGTGGCCAGCTCACTCAGCTTCTGCTTCTTTGAGAGAAGCTCCTTCAAAAACTTCGCATACTTCGGCATTTGCGATAGTGCCTCCAGGAAGGGCACTTGGACATTCAGCTTCTTAAGCATTTCCATGAAGTTCTCGAACTCTGTCTCCAGCCTGTCTCTGTGCAACCGAGTAGGGAAAGGGAGTTTAGGGACATACTCCTTCACTACTGGTTGCGGTTTAGGTGCAGGCACCTCAACCTCCTTCTCAACTTCCTGTTCAACCGCTGGAGATGCTGCAACAGGGCTTTCTCTCTCCGGTTCCCGAGCAGGGGGATCAACAGTCATCTTGCCACTCCTGGTCATGATGGCATTGCAGCGCTCATTCGGGGTCGGCGGGTGAGGAATGGTCTGCGCTGGTAGAGTACCAGGAGCCCTTTGAGCCACTGACTGGGCCACGCTCCCCAGCTGGGTCTGGATATCCTGCAAAACAGCCTGTGTATTCCTCTGACCAGCTTCCAGAGCCAGGAGTTGACCCGAGGCCTTCTCCATGAACTGCTCAAAGGTGTTGAATTTCTGAGCACTAACACTGGCGAGAGAACCCACCAAGTCCCGCAGTTCAGCCATCTGATCATTCTGCACTGGGGCAGCAGGGGCTGCACCTGGTTGCTGGAATTGCCCCTGTCTGGGCTGATATGGTGGCCTCTGGAAGCCCGGTGGTCCCTGTGGAGCTGGTGGTCTGGGATTTGGCCCAGCCCAGGAGAAGTTAGGATGCTGGCGCCACCCCTCATTGTACGTGTTGCTGTAGGGGTCATTGCGCCTGACATTGTTGATGAAGTTCACCTGCTCCTGGGGTGTGGTCGATTCCTTCATCGCCTGGCAGTCTTCCACCATATGATGGGTGCTCTCGCACCACTGGCAGAGCATCGCCTGCTGCTGTCCGGTCCCTGGAATCATCCCGGAACGATCGATAGCTGAGACCAGCTTCGATACTACCTGCACCAAATCAGATGACTGGGTGCCCACAGCATGCACACCCCGGCCTGGTGCTCTCCTCGATCTCCTGGCAGTGCCCCAATCATAACCATTCTCCGCCATCTCTTCAAAGAGTTGATTCAGCTGTGGCGGGGTTTTGGTCAGCATGTTCCCGCCACAAACCGAATCGATCAGCTGCTTGTCCTCCGGGAAGAGGGCGTGATAGAAGGTGCCCACCTTGAACGCATCGTTGAAACCATGATTGGGACACCTGAGGAAAAGACTGTTGTACCTCTCCCATGCATCCCTGATGGTCTCATCCTCATCCTGGGAAAAGTGTGTAATCTGCTTCTGGAGATCAGCAGTCTTGGATGGAGGATGGTAGCGGGTGAGGAACTTGTCCGCCAGGTTGGCGAACGTGGTGATGGAGCCCGGAGGTCGAGTGTCTAGCCACTCCTTGGCCTGCCCCTCTAGAGTGAAAGGGAAGTACCGCAGCTGGATGGCATCTGCTGGGACCCCGTTGATCTTGATTCCATCGATGAGCTCGTGGAATCGCCTGAGGTGTGATCGAGGGCACTCTCCCTCCTTACCACGGAACACTATTGAACCGCGCAGCATGGTGATCACGGAGGTGCTCACCTCAAAGTTGTTGGCTGGGACCTGAGGGTGTTGAATAGGTGACCTCATGTCCGCAGCCCTAGCGGTCCAGTAGGATCCCATGGTCTGCTCCCCGGGGATCACATTGTTGTTCTGCGGATCACCCATCTCGCCTTCTTCTTCTTCTCCGATCTGTAGCTGTGACAGCGCCTTCTCCGTAGCCAGTCGCGCCTTTAGAACCCGCTTGGAGTTCCTGCAGGTTCGTTCAAGCTCCTGGTCAAGTGGTAGTAGATCTCCCGACTGGCTATGGGTCATGCACTACCTGCACACAATCAGCAGAAGCAACCCGTGAAGGCACACAGGTGGAAGAGATAAAATGCAGTAAATAAAAGCTAGAGCAACAAATTCTCACTGTTTCCCCAATAACCTAGAGGGTTCCCCGGCAACGGCGCCAAAAACTTGACACGCTAAAACACAACACCTAACAATGGCCAAGTGTAACCAATGAAAGGGACTGCAGTATAGGCAAGTTTAATTATCAACCCGGGGTCTAGATCTACTGCTTACTCCGTGATTCTCTATTATCTAGCAAACTAAGTCGAGTGATTGTTGTAAAAAGTAAAAGCAACAAGAAAGCAGTAAATTGTTCGGGTTTCTAAAGCAGGCAAGAGTCACTCGGGATTGAGTCCCCCTAGCCCCTTAGTTAGGTTCAATTGCAATTCCCTGGGTTGATTTACTGTTGATTAGACTGCGGAAGATCCGACAGTAGCTTGGAATCTCTTAAGCTGACCAAGCCCTCTCAGTCTAACTACCCGGCAGACGACTGGTCTTCACCGGGATAGAAAGCTGAGGCTATGAACACAGAACTCCACTACTGGCGCCAAGAACACCAGTACAAAGCAGTCAACTGGCTAACTCTCGTATAGCCAATCTCCTACTATCGAATGAAGAGGCTCTAACAACCTAATCAGATTCTATCTATCTCAGGTTGAAGCAGAAATTGAGACAAGCTGATCAGACTCAAATCAATTCATGAAACATGCGTCATTCGATTAAAATCAAGCAGTAATATCATCCCAAGTCATTACAATCAAATCCCTAACACAAGGAACTAGGGTTCTTCATACCCAAGTGAGAGAAGGGTTCTACTCCATAGAGAGAGAAGAGAAAACAAGAATCGGATTAGTCATACTCATAACGATGAGGATAATCTGCTCCGGGACGATGATTTCCACTCCTATGACGATCTCTAAGCTCGATTCGATGAAATCCAGCTCTTAGACGGCTTCTAGGATGAGTTCTTCGCACTTTCTCTCTCTAGGGCTCTGTTTTTTGCTCTGAAAACACGATTCTCACACTTTTGGCTCGAATTAGGCTTTAAAACCGACTTTCCCGAGTTGCACGGCCAGGTGCACGGCCGTGCACATCACCATTCTGGCCGTGCACCCTCAAAACGCACCGTATCAATTATTCGGCCTTCATCCACCTTGCACGGCCAGGCGCACGGCCGTGCAAGCTTCAAGCCTGCCCGTGCATGGCCTCGACATGAGGTGCACAGCCAAATGGCTCAAGTGCACGGCCGTGCAGCCTCCTGGTCTGCCTGTGCACTCCCCAAACAGCTCGCCCTTCGTCCGTTCTGCGTCCAATCGACCCCAGACTCGCTCCTAAGCCTTCATTCACGTACTAGGACCTGAAATAACACAAACAAGCACAACCTAGCGTGAAATCGGCCTAAAACACGAGAATCAACACCTCAAACGGTGTAAGTATGAGGGTAAAAACATGTGTAAATGACGGTCTATCATATATATATATATGGGGAGTTCTACGGTACCCAGGGTGAAATCCGGGGTACCGCATACCTTGAGTAAGAAAACGCTATCCAGAACTTGAATTGACTGATCTTTCGGACATGGTACTATAATCTAACTCTTAAAGATCAAAATCTAGGTCTTAATTTTCTAAATCTTGTACCCCAAGATCAATTTAATTAGAATTAATAATCGACGGTTACGATTCGTCCAAATATAAGCAAAAAAATAATGCACCATATTACGGTTTATAGTTTATGATTTAGATAATTAGGACCTAGGGTTCACTCATTAAGGGTTAGGGTATAATATCATGCCCATAAATCCTGCTAATTCGAGGTCTAGATAGTGTTTTCATACTCAAGGTATGCGGTACCCTGGATTTCACCTGGGTTATGTCTTCGGTGCACTCACTTTTTTGGGTGCATTGAATGCACCCGCCTCATAATCGTCATTCTGAGCAGGCGATTCATGTGAAAACGATGGCAATCATCCCTTGTGGTAAGAGGAACAAGAACCACGTGAATTTGTACAAAAATCATTCAAGATTCTCTTTAATTTGAATGATTCAGGGTTTAGGAATTTAGGGTTAGGGTTTACAATTTGGGATTTTGGGTTTAGATTCAAAATTGAATGTTAATAGGTTAGGGTAATGGGTTGATTAGTTGTGATTCTGTGTTATATCATCATATGAGACTAATGCTACCCATTAAATTTTGAATTTAATGTATTATGACCACTTTTAGAGGTGAGTGCACTAAATGCACCAAAAAAAGCGAGTGCACCGAAGTAGCCACCATATATATATATATATATATATATATATATATATATATATATATATATATATGGTTTAGGCTAACGTATAGCTGGCGTACACTGTACGCCCGTGTTCACATTTGTTAAATCTTTTAATTAATTATTAATTATAAGTCAATCATAAAAAATTATAATTACAACTACACTTATTCATTCAATTTTCTATACCATTTAGTCCCAAATAATTATGTACTGCTTAAATCAACCATATGAATATCCAATATAATATTATAGGCCACTGAAAGCCAGTAACCTGAAGATGATCCCAACAACATGAATATGCCAATGAATGGTGATGCTGGATGGACTCAACCTCGATCTACTGCCCAAAGAGGGATGACGAGACCCGACGTTCATAGAACTGGCGGAGATCATGCACCAGGAAACAGACGGGTCACGAAGCTTTGACCGGACAGTTGCAGAATGGTAGATTGAAATCGATTAGACACATTAACTCTTCCGCCATGGATCGATGATTACCAAAATAAGGCACCAATCAACAAAAAGAGATCCATTTAATCACTCAGGCTTGATTAAGAAACATGGTGAAATAGGGTAATCTAAATACAATGAAATTCAAAACTTGATCGGCCTAGGAAATTGATTCCCGCCGTGTTCTTCCTTTGCATAAATAGAAGCCGGATTTCCTTTCTCCCGGATTTGATAATGAAACCCGAGAACCAAAGTACAAAACAAAGAAGGGAATTCACCTGCCATCAATCGAAGGTCGTACCATCATACTTTCTCAAATCTCAATCCATCGAAATTTTCTGGGGATGGTCAAATTGAGTTATAAATACAAAGAATTTTTTTTTCTTCGACATGAAAGAGTAGAAGAAGAAATGACAGAATACAGAGCATAGTAGAACCAAGGATTTCATGTTGAAGAAGGAAGTACAGAGCATAGCCGCATCGAAGGATATGGATGCTCTCTCTCAATCATTTAATGCATACATAAATGATTTGTTTAAATATAGCAAATGGTGAAAGTTATTGTGGGACTCTCAGTTGTAAAAAAGGATGTTATTGTGGGACTAAAGTGTACCACGTAATTAATTAATGAGTGTACATGTAGTTATAATTATTAGATATAACTTTAATTATAAATAATTAATTTATTAGTGTGAACGTAGGCATACAGCGTACGCCAGGTGTACGCTAGCCATTGCCATATATATATATATATATATATATATATATATATATATATATATATATATACACGTACCCTAGCCTACCGTACGCCCGTTGAGTTTTGCTATTTAGACAATGAATGAATCAGGGTTTGTGGCATGATACTATACCCTAACCCCTAATGAGTGAACCTAAGTCCGCAATTCACTAACACAAAGCATAATATTCATTTAATCTTGAAATGAAAATCAACGGTTCTGATTCATCGAAATTATTGTTGATTTTCATTTTAAGATTAAACGAATCTCATGATTTGGGTTAGAAAACTAAGGATTGGGGTTTATCCATTAGTGGTTAGAGTATAGTATCATGCCCAAAACTTCTGTTAATTCATGATCTAAATAGCAAAACTCAAACGGGCGTACGGTAGACTAAGGTACGCCCTGGCGTACGCTAGCCTTTGCCATATATATATATATAATATCAGCTATATTCCACATTATTCATCCATTCATATACACATACAACCCTTTTCCACAATCCCAAACATCCCAAGTCGCCAACCATGAGGAGGGATCTCGCTGCTGGTCGATGAGCGGGAGCGGCTGGTCGAATAGAAATGGGGAATAGAATAGGGTTTGGGGTTTCCACAAAAAGGCTACACGTCTCCGAGCGCCTACGCGCAGCTTTGGCGTTTTCATGGAGATTAATTGTTTAGCATGCCTAGATCAATCGCCCAAGACTAGACGAGGCGATTTCCTCCTGCCCAGCTATTACTCGCGCCTAGGCGAGAGATTAATCGTGTCTTCTTGAATATTGATATAAACTATGAATAAAAATTCTAAACAATAAAAAGTAGTCAAAATGGATCTTGTTAGATTTCTTTTATATTAAATAATATTATTTTATAATATTATTTTATTTTTAAAATGATATAAATGAAATAAAATTATATTTTCTTAAATAAAATTAAATATGATAATGATAATCTTTTATCTTCAACAGCTTTTCGCAGAAGCTCCAAATCGGAGCTTCTGCTTTTATGTTATACAAAAGTACTTTTTCGACTTTACAAAAACCGAGCTTTTAGAGATGTTTAACCCTGATTAAGCTTTTGAAGCCGAAAAGCGCTTCTAAAATCCGAGCCAAAAATAGGCAAATATAAGTTTGCGTTTGGATATATGTATATACTTGAAATATATTTAAATGCACGTATTTGAAATATTAGCATTTGAAATATCTATAATTTAAATCTATTGTTTGAATACTCATTTTTAATTTTTCAAAATTTTAGATTTTAAATATTTTAATTTTAATTTTAATTTTTTTCACTTACTTTGAGTTTTGATAAATTACATTTTGGTATCTAAATTTATTTTTGTTTACAATTTAATACCTAAAATTTTACAAAAAGGTATAAAAATTTTGGTGGTAAAATTAAGTTTTGGTAACTTATCTAAACTTTTGAAATTTTACAAACAGGTACAATAATTTGTTAGGAGGAATTTCAATCCCTAGTTGTTAAAAAGTATATGAAGTTGACAAGTAATACACTAGACATGTATTTGGAAATCACGCCGTGAATTTTATACAAATCAAAATATCAAATATTATTCATGTCTAAACAAATGATTTGACAATTAGAAATACCAAATCCTTCTACCCAAACACACCCTAAAAGCATTTTTTGCGAATGCGGCCCCACGACTTTCTGATTAATATTTGTTTGTTTTAATCTCACTTAAGTATATTGTATATTTATTTTTTATTTCTTAATACGTGTTTTTTATTTTATTTTTTGATGAATGGGCATTTATCTATTAATCATAAAAAAACCAAGTTACTTTTGTGGCAACACCCCCTGCCACTGAGGAAAACAAACAACTCAAACCAACTCAAATCAACTATAACCTATCTATTAGGAGCCAAGAACGAGTAGCAACAGCAAGACCCAATGCACTCAAAAGAAATCACTCAATTCAGCATCATCACACACAACCTGCACTTCCTCCTTTATCATTTTATATGCTTCACTAAGACTCTACACAGAACCTCCAAACCTGGCAGAACACCTAACTCTCCATATGTTACTTATCATAGATTGCCAGATCATCCTCCATGCCCTTGAATGAGGAGCAGCTTTTGGAAAGGAATTAATAGCCCAAAGGAGTTCTGCAGACCAGGAATTTGAAGAAACACGGCTACAGAATCTGTAGAAAAGCGCCTGGAATAGGTCCTTATACCTGCAACATTCTGCAAACAAATGGTTATGGGATTCAAGCCTGCATTGGCAGTATACACAAGCTGTGATCCCTTGGAAACCCCATTCTATCATCTTATCACAAGTAGATGTGTACTATTTGATGATTAGCCAGCATACAAACTGGTTTCGAGGAATAATAGGAGCTTTCCAGACCAGTTTAAACCAAGGGACAACAGAACTTTGAGGCCTTAGATCCTCCCAAATCAGCTTAGTATAAAAAATTTTAGAAGCTTCCCATTCCAGGACCCCTCACCATCTTGCACAGTCACCTTGTTCTGAATCAAGCCCCTAATTTTGAGCACCTTTAACCAAATCCAAGAACCAGTTTTGCACGTTGAGGCCCAGAAGTCCAACCCATGAGACCTGTATTCCCATATCCATGTGACCCAAAGCGACCTTTGTTTTGTAAGGAGGTCCCAAATGTGTCTCAAATCCCTTAATCCCAATCCACCCTCTCTTTTAGGGAGAGTTAATTTCCCCCAGGCTACCACTGCTCTCTTTTTACCTTCCTTACCCACTCCCCACAGAAAATCACTACACATCTTCTCAATGTCAACAATCACTTTCTTAGGCAGAATGAACACAGCCATCCAAAACTGGACCATACTGTATAAGACAGATTGAACCAATTGAAGCCTACCTGCATAGCTCAGGGTTTTTACCCCCCAATTCTGTATCCTCTTAGCAAGTTTTTCAAGTAAAGGGCGACAGACACTAATTGTCAGTTTTCCAGGTATCAAA